AAATAACCAACCGAAAGATGTATAAATAATACACATAATAATGAACCAGAAATACGCTCATACACAACCATTTGTTTTTGCATACATGTACCCCAGGGGGTGCTCCTGCAGTTGCCATAGGGTACTTGGAAAGAATATGAAGTAGCTCAGCTAAATTGAAAAATTTGAAATTATGATTTTGTTAAGAAAAAACATGTATCCATGTATTTGCGTTTAGGAGGAAAATAAACACACACATTGGGGTTACAAATTACAGCTGCACAGGACATAATTTCCAACAACCTAAGTCACTTGTACTGTAGCACCTTCACAACACATGCTGCGACTTAGATTGCGTGAAAACTAGTTTGCAAGTAAGCAGAGAAGTTGAAATAGATCGGCAGAAAATAAACTGTTGAAATGTCGAGCTTCTACCACTCCAAGAAGTGCTGGTACAAATACAAACTGATTAAAACAAGACAACAAGTCAACATGGACGATTTCACATGTCTTGTAAGGAAAAGTGAGTGTAACAACAGTGTTAAACATCTACTTTAAAATGCAATTTTAGTTTCAAATGAATGTGTGGTGTTGATAAAGGGCTACTCAAGCTAATCTGACAGGGCTGTGGGGATATGACGGAGAACACTAAGATCTTCAGCCTATGATCTCCAAATGTATCTCCAAATTCCTGCTCACTCTTACATGCAAATCAGTCTTTTCATCTGCATAGTGTTAAACAAGTGTACTTATTTGTCCTCAGTTATTTTGTCAAAGCTGCTAACAGGCAGTCAGGGCCAGCAAATGTCAGAGGTTGAACACTCGCTATCATTGCTTTATTGGATTGGATTTGAAGCCAGCCCATTTGCCGTCCCTCCAAGACCTCCGGGGCTGTTGTCTAAGTGAGATGGAATTTAGTGTCTTAGTTGATAGTGATTTCTCCTGGCAGTCCACTCTCTCACACACTCACGCTCACTCTTTCTATCTCTTTTCTTCTCTCTCTCTCTCTTGCCCGATCGAGATGTGAAGCGAGGAGGAATCCTTTCAGCCCATGTTAGTGTTGAATTGTGAACAGGATAAAGAAACAGGCCCAAGGGTCCTCTCGTCTTGTCCTAATTTATCTATCGCTCTACCGTTCACTTTCTCCACCACTGCATGTAAAGAGGAGAAAGAAACACAAAACAGGCAGCAAATAAAGCATGATACATTTCAAAGCACAGCCCCAAAGCTTCAGAACCTACCACCCTGCTTTCAAAACACAAAACAGAGTGATGACGAACAGATTCAGAGCACTAGTGTAGTGTTAGTATCATGCCAACAGAGGGCAGTGTATGTAAACAGGAGACAAGAGGGGTCCTGGTAGTGTATTAGCATGATGTATGAGATGTGTACTGTGTAGCTTAGAGGCCGTTTTCCCCTAAAGAAAATACCCTAATGAAGAGACAGGCCACAGACTGTTATATTAGATTATTATATAAGAGCAGAACATTTCTGAAAATATCACTTTTTTGCACTTGAAGTAAACAAAACCTAAATTATAAAAACCGACATTTGTAGATAGTTTGGGTTTTTGTTCTTGCTGAGATTTTGAGATTGACTTAAAAGAGTTCGACTCATTTTAGCAAGCAGTGCTAAGAAACCAGTAGTGGAATATAACTAAGTACATTTACTCAAGTACTTGTGCTTTATTTGAGTATTTCCATTTTATGCTCTTACAATTCAGAGGGAAATATTTTTAGCTTTGTTCTAGGCTTCTCCTTGTCTTAAATTACAGTTAAGTGAATATATTTGAGCTTTGACAAAACCATACCTTTGAAAGTGTCATTCTTGTTCTTTTACAAACCAAACAATCAATCAATAAATTGCGAAAATTATCAGCAGATTAATCCACAATGGAAAATGTTATAATAAAAAAAAAAGAAATACAAAAGACTACAAAAGTAAAATGTTGCTCACACATTAACGCATGATAAGTAAATCATACTTTTATATAATTAAATAATCTTTTCCTAATTACATTTACATACTGACATACTATGTTACTGAAGTAACATTTTCAGTGCAGGACTTTTACTTTTAATGGAGTATTTTTACTGTGTGGTTTTAGTGCTTTCATTGCACCTAAGTAGACAATCTTCACCACTGTATGCAACACATAGACGGAGCCTCATCCCAGTCTTTGCTTGTGGCCTTCAAATCACTAAAACCGTGGTGCTCACATCAGAAAACGGGTCCCATTTCTTTCCAGAAAAATGTCCTGGTTACTGTCAACTTGCTACATTTTTGAGTCCTTTTGCCAGCCATTTGTTACAGTAGCTTCGGCTCTCTGCCATCTCATGCTGGGCTGGTAGCATACATCGGTTTGTGTGAACATGCCGCAGTGAGAGGCTGCCTACAGTTTCATATGGTGCAGGGTTAAGAAATTCACTTCTAAAATGATTTTGTTCAAGTTTATATTGAAGTGGGTTTGTTTGGTCTAAAAAAGAAGAGAGTTTAGAAGAGTTCTATTTATGCAAGTTGTTCACTGTTGTACTTTGCTGTATTTAAAAAGTGAGAAATCTCAGTCCAGTGTATGTAATGTAAAACCTTTGCTGATGATTGCTTCTCTGTCTCATCAGGCCATGGACGGGACTGCAGGATGCAGGCAGACTCTCTGGGAGATTTGTACCGGGCTCTGGAGCAGACCAGTCTGTCCACCTCAGATGACCACAGATCAGCCAGCCGCCTGGAGTACAAGCGCTCATTTGTCCGCCGTGTCAACGACCCCCTGCTCAATGACAAGCTTCACCGCCTCCGGATCCTCCATAGCTCACTTAAGGTACAACAACATGTTTTGAGCATTTATGTCTCTCCATAACTTTTGTTTATTGGTTAATTACTAATTGATATCTTCATCTCCCCTACAGAATGTCCCTCTTCAGGACACAAACCGGTCATTGGGTTTTTTAGGGTAAGGATCCGTATGTTGATTGAACCTCAAATGTATCGCCTCTGCCTGTGCCTCATACTGCCGGCAACCTTCTGCTGGAGATAATAGGCACCTAAAACCTCCTTTTACCCGCTCAGCTCTACATCTCCTTTTTCTGTACCGCTACTTCAACCTCACTCACCGTGCAGGAGCACAAAGACTTGGTGTCTCCACCCAATCTCTCTCTTTTAAAGATGAAGGCTGTTACAAAATGGCAAAAAAAATTGTCTGGCTTGATAAAATGACTCGTAGACTCGCAGGGTTTATGACAGGGTTTAAGCACTTTGTGTCTGTGTCCAGGACTTGTAGGAGAGCTTTGTAACTCATCGCTCATACTGTATGCATGGCCACCTCCCCTCACTTCTGTTGAATTGTTTTGAACATTATGCTGGAGTTGTGTACAGCTGCTCAGTAAGATTCGACGGAGGAATTAGAAGCTATTTTGGATGTACACAACGTTTTGTTATGCATGTGTGTATGATTAAAGAGTATGTTTGTTCTATGAGTGTACAGGGTGTTAAGCATATATATATTTAATATTACATTACTACAACAATACAGTGACTACACAATGTTTTGGGGTACTTAATACAAACTGTAAATCAAGTGCTGTGCCTCAGTGATTGTGAATGTACATTGTACTTTTCCAAGAGAGACGAGGGAAGATATAGAAAGCAAGCTATTCCTCAAAACAGGGGCATAAGAATATAACGCTTGGCAATAATGAACTAGTATTGTAAATTACAAAGGAATGAACATAATAGTTGTCTATTTTTGTATGCATGCCGTCTACCTAATTGTTTGTAAAACAGTTTTGTATTTCTAAGTGCGCCCCCCCCCCCCCCACCCAAACTCCCCCTACCACAACATTGTGTTTATAAGACTTATTTTCCAATTTGTCCTAGAAAATTGCAGTTGATTTTTTTGATTGTTTGCCACATAAAGAGGAATAACTGTATTTATTAGGTGTTTAATGTACAAGCATGCTTTGTATAACTAAAACACATTACCATGCCACTGGAAATTGACTTACATTTCATAAGTGTGCCACATTGTAGCTACAATACTTTTTTAAGGAATAAAGTATGGAATGGGCACACGTAAGAGCCATTGTTAAATGTTTTTTTCCCATAATCCCATTTTATATGGCGAGATTATTTTTAGACACAACAAAGGTTGACTCAGGGGATGATAATAATATGCAAACACAATGCACTCAGTGTATATGAAGCCTCAGGCATTCTTCTTCTGTAGGATAGGGTAATTAGAATAACACAGAGGAGGATCAACGCAAGAAACTAGTGCCCTGTCTGCAGTGTAAGTATATACACAAATATCCAAAAGGGAACCTCAAATTGTTCACCTGTCAGGGTGATACAGGAATAAGTCTTTCTACCACGGCTGGTTTAAGATGCAGATGGTGATGTGAAAACTGTGGTGAACTTGCTGCAGTCCTGTGAGGTAAGCTTCACTCCAGATACAAAAATAATGACAGTGAAACTGCACCCTGTTAGGCCCACACACATTATTAACACACGTCACCTTCTCAGCCCAAGATTCATTTTTACGTCACTGTATCATGCCCTCTAACACATTTTCAGTTGTTTTCAAGACTCAAACCACACATGCAGCACACAATTGCCTTTGAATGAGTACTTTTAAATGAGAAGGGAATTATTGTTCTGTGAATTCCTGCATGACAGCCAGTGATTCTGGTTACCTGAAGTATTTGGGTGGGAAGATTCAGTGAGAGGACGGTGGCTACAGTAGCTTTATTGCCAAGTCATGCTCTTCATGTATACATAACGTATTTTTTTTACACATGACTTTGACAAAAAATATTTGACTTACACAAAGCAAGAAGAAAAGGTTCTTTTAATTTTGCTGCTACATGTGTATCTTGATTATTACAAAGGTGTTAGGTGGCCTGCCGTGTGTTAATTTTTCGGTGTAGCCAGTTTATTGTTTTGGTGGAATCTTATAATTTTATAAGGTGTACAATCTATACCTGCTCCTTTTAAAAAGTGTCCTAAGATAACTTCTGTTATGATTTGGCACTACACAAATAAATACAGCACATAGAGCACATTGAATTAACCAATTACAGCCACAGTCTACCACACTAATGACTTGTGATATATATTGTACATAATGGTACATTGTAAGGCCAGACTTCTTCCGCATTGACCTCAGTCGGCTTTTAGATTCATATTCTTGACCAGCTGTCCTGTATGAGCAAGAAATAATTAAATAATTGTGCTAAAGGGGAAGATTTGCACCCTCTTTAAAATATAGTAGAAGAGGTTCCACAAATAAAACGACAACACAACTAATGTACAGTCATATTAATGTATTTATAAGCAGTTAGGATTGGGCACATAAATGTTTGTTCGTTATTGTGAGGATGGTTATTATTTAAATTGTGAGTAACCGATTACATTAGTCACATAATCTTAATCTCTTTTTTCCCTTTGAGTAAATGTTTTCACATTTCACATGTGATACACAAATTCAGATGTTTGGTTCATATCAAGAAATCCTCATTAAATGCTTTTTTAATGAATTCCTTAATACTTATTAATATCTTAATAAAACAACCAGAGGAGGTAAACAGAAAAATGCAATGATGATGGGAAAATCTCAAAGAGTGACTGGAATATTTATGCTTTATTAATTGTAGCACATGATACAAAAAAGCGCTTCACTTGCCCACTAGAATCTTCATGCTCACTTAAATTACATATACAAGCTTTCAGTCATAGCCAAAACCAACTTATTTTACTCAAAGTGCATGCAGATTCTTAGCTCATCTTGGCAGTAAGACTGTTAACTGAAGAGGAAGGTCAAAAAGAGTACATATAAAGCCTGACAACAGTCAAGGAGGATAACATACACAAAACACTCAAAACACATACTTTAAATGTAATATTTAAAACAATAAAATTGTTTTGCATTTATACAACTGAAAACATTGGATGCACCAGTATAATTAAAACAAGCGGTGATCATAGTAAAGTTTGCCAGAACAGGCAGCACAAAGTGTGAAAGACATAGGGGTGAACATTGAAAAACCTATCTCAACAGCATTCCTGCATTATAATCTAGTGTCCAGGGAGGCACAGACAAACTGTCAGAAACTCACTACATTGTATGCACAAAGCTGGAGCCTCTGCCTGCTAATGCTTCCACATGGCATGAAATGAATTCAACACTGCAGATGTTTTTCTCAGTGCTGGCTGGTCTGGTTGTATTATAGTAAATGAGAAAGCAAATGTAATTAAACAACATGGAGAGATGGGAGATTCTGTATGTCATGTGCTTCCAGAGGCATCAGTCTTCACGGCACCGTGCTCTTTGAATGTGCAGCAACAACTGCCCTCTTGGCTACATTATTTGTTACTTGCCTGCTTTTTCTCCTGAAAAGCCTGAACAGTTTTCCCCTTATGAGTTGAATACTCAAACCATAGATAGCTGGATTGAGAATGGGCGGGCATATTAAAAAGTATATAGATAAAAACAACTTGGCTGGGTAAGGCAGGTGACTAATATTAAATCGACTTTGTGCAATTTCAATAATGCACCCGATAGTGTAGATGATTACTGCAAGTAAGTGGGGGGTACAGGTTCGGAGAGCTTTGACCTTGGAGTTGCTCAATGTAAATACACATATCCTCAGGATGTGTGCATATGAATAAAATATCATGATAAGCTGTGGAAGTATATACAGGGCTACGGATAGTAGGCCCACTATGTTAACAATAGCTGTATCTGTACAGGCAAGTTTCACCAGTAAGTAATTCATACAGTACACCTTTTCTATGGTTCTCTCACAAAACCGCAGCTGAAGAGTGAAAATTAAAACAATGAGAAATGCCAGCATGGGGTAAAGCCACGTAAAAACAATAAGTTTAACAACTCTCTGTGACATGAGTACATGATAATACAGCGGATAACAAATGGCCACATACCTGTCATAACTCATCACTGCTAGAATTGTGAATTCAGTGATGGCATATGTGTGTATAGCATAGATCTGTGTCTGGCAAACCGGTAGAGATATCTCATATGAGTGTGACAGTATGTTGCTTAGTACTGCTGGCAGCAGAGAAGTGCTTCCAAACAGACCATTCACAGCCAAGTTACACAGCAACAAATACATTGGCTCATGCAGGCTTTTTTCACGATAGATCACACTGATTAATGCTACATTTTCAGCAACAGTTGTTATGTATATCATCAGAAACATGCAGAAATACATTGGCTTCAGGTCCTCCATTCCATAGTATTCAGACAGATGAAAAGATGTCACTTCAGATACATTTTTCATGCTGACACAAATTAATCTTAAAGCATCTGAGTAACCCTGAATATATTGTACAATGTTGCACTTCACACCACTCCACAAATGCAATACGTTTCACCTTTCTGTGTAGTCCTCCTCCCCCCTACCTGCATTTACCTGAACAGCTTTTAATACTCTTTACATTTCCTACCCTGTGAAATGAAGTCATGTGGTCTTACCTACATGCCAATGATTTGACAGTATTCACATAAACCCTGTGATTGGCAATCCTGGTGTGAGGGTGTGGCAACATGAATTTATTTGATTTCTGCATAGCAAACAAATCAAAATATTTAATAAAAACCATACATTTTCCAGGTCAACTGAACTTGATCATGTATGGAAATATTATTGTATAGTAACATAAACACCTCCAACTGGCAGAAAATCTCAGTGGTCATAAATAAATAATAATAAATAATTTAAGTTAAAAATAATGAGTTATAATAAGTAGTTTCCTCCTCACTTTGTAACACTGATTTAACCTAACTCAGAAAGCTGACAGGGACAAGATGATGTTCCTTTAAAGGTCCAGTATGTAACATTTAGGACGATCTATTGGCAGAAATGGAATATAATATTCATAGGTATGTTTTCATTAGTGTGTAATCACCTGAATATAGGAATCGTTGGGTTTTCTGTATGAGCCTTTTATGTTGCTGTAGATAGGGCCTTTTCACGAGTTTCGCAGCCATTCTCATTCTCATTCCCAGGTCATCAAATACAGATGTGAGCGGAGTTCAGTTGCAATCTGACACTAAATCCTACACACTGGTCCTTTAAGCCTGAATCTCATCCACATTATGGCCACCACATTTCACAATACTGGGGCTTTTGAGCGCACCTTAAATATTCTCAGTCTTCAGTTTTTCACACAAACATCTATTGTATATCGGCTTAACTCCCAGTGGTGTATTCTTATTCTGTGATATAATACATAAGAGGGGCTGCAGTTATGTTTGTTAGATCAATGTTGAATTTACAACTTTATAGAAGCTTGCAATTGTGAAGCTGCTGGCAATGTTAAAAAGCTGTAATACCCTGAATACACAGTACAAAAGGCATTTAGTATTTAACACTTACTATTATTTTTCTTACAAAAATTATTTGAATCTTTGATCTGGAGCATGTATTTCCTGAGTTTCTACTGCCAGTACAAAGCTGAACCCCGCCTTAGCAGCCATACATCCTAATTGTTGATCACACCTATTGGAATCCCTTTTTAATCAGTGTTATCAGCCAATAAAATTGATCATAACCTGTGTTTCATCAACTTGATCAAAGTAAGAGCAAGGTCAAATTTTCTCCACATGTTGTTTACAGGTTAGGTATGGTCTCACTCTCATTATAAAACAGTTCGTAATTGCTTCCAAAGGGATGTTAAACACTGACCACTAACGAGCATGTTTATCCATTTAGCTGCTTCCTGATTTCCATTACTAATTCATAAAAACAGTAATAAAGAATTCCAAATAGTGATACATTAAAAATTACTAAAACAAGGTGTTATAGTTTCCTTCTCCAATGTGTTAAACCAAGGTCTTACTCATGTACCAAACTAAACAAATAAATCATAAGATGAGTTCAAATAAGCTACTACTACTAAACGTAACTAAATATAAACTGTACTGAACTGAACGGCAAGTTTGTGCTCCTCTACATGTGTCATATTTTAAGTGGATTGAATTAATCTAAATTATTTTACTAAGCTTTGTAAATAAGTTGACAGCGCTTTCTCTTTTTTCCCTCCTCCCTCACTTTTCATCATTTAATTGAATGTAGCCAGTTGTGCTGCACGTCTGTTGAATTTCAGCTGAACTCTACATGGCTCTGAATGACATTTGGGATTTGCATAGTTCATTGTTGTCTCATTCATTAATTTATAGTGTGAACAATGTTAGATCAGGAAATGTACATGAGCCTCCTCTTCAGTTTGTTTATGTGATACCGCTGCAGCTGCTGCGAAGGTTATGTGTTCAGAAAAACACATTTAACAGCCTTGGTAACTTAGCTGAATCTGATTATAACAGTGAAACCTGTGTTAAACATCCTGGACCTTAATGCTTGATGGCAGGTGTTTTCAGATAATGCTAATCTGTCTTTATGGTGCAATTATAGGACAGATCATGTGGTAAAGGTCCAATATTACTAAAGTATATTAACATGTGATGTGCTGACAAAGTTAGTAAGATTTTAGGTTTTAAAGAGTATCAGTCAACATCTGAGTGACACTAAAACTGCATAAAAGTCCTTTAAACATATGATCTTAAATAATCTTTAATAGTGATAAATGCTAAAAATGTGACTGTTGACGAACTTGCTGCCAAACAAACAGTTTTGATCATGTATTCCCTTCTGAAACACATATATATCCAGTAAATCCATGACTTTATGTATGTGTCGGCATTGATGACAATAAAACGAACAAACACATTTTGAATATACTTTCTTTTATTTCAGGTACACTGCAAAAAATCGCTAGCAAATATTAAGTTAAATAACTCAAGAAATTTAGAGGACAAGTTATGAATTGGTGATTCCAACTTTCAGTGTCTGACAGTCTTCACATCATTTTCATTTTCAACTTTCTGTCTCTTTTAAAGATTTAAAAATCTTTTAAAATTTTAAACTTTCGGGCACCCGGTTAGCTCAGTGGGTACAGCTGGCGACCCATGCACCAAGGCTGAGTCTTTGCTGCAGCGGCCCAGGGTTTGAATGCGACCAGCGGCCCTTTGCTGCATGTCATCCCCTCTCTCTGCCCCCCTTTCCTGTCTGTCCTCAGCTGTCTCTATCATAAAATCAATAAAAAGCCCCAAAAATATATATAATTTTTTTTTTTAAACTTTCAAGAGGAGAAGCGCAAGCAGGGTCACGGTCTTCCTAAAAAAAATGTTTTGCCACTGTGTGTCTTCAATTGAAAGAAATTGTTTTATCAGAGTCACTTTTTCACAAAGCATCCTAATTTGAAGGTAAGCCACTTTTATAAATAATAATATGCAAACACAGAGACGTGTTAACCACAATTGGAATTCCGACGATAATGACTAAAATACATTATTATGCCTTATTGTTAAATAAGACAATACAATCCTGTACGGAGAAATATCAGATATTGTACATCTTTATACTTATTTCTCAAACAGAGATGTTTTTGCCACCATATAAATGTTTTAACAATTAGAAAAACAATTGATAAATTCGATCCACAGCTTTGAATTTATCAAGTTTATCATGTTTATTTTTAGCCGTATTTAAAATACATAGAAAGATTCAATGGCAAAATTTAAGGGAACCCAGTTGGCCTTGTTAGGATTACTGCTAAAATATTATTGTTTGATCACATTAACTGGAATACAATTTAAATATTATCCTTTATGATCAGATAATTTAAAAGAAGTTCTGCCCTTAGTTTCTGAAACACAAATAATTATTATAAATGTCCTTGCATTGTAAGATAGGTTGGTCTAAGCTGTAATCATTGCTAAATTGATTGGGATCTTCTGTCTAATAAACAGTTTCAGTATATGGACTCTTATTATTTGAGTGCCAATTCCATATATCACTGGGTTGACAACTGGTTGAATAATGATAAAGTATAAAGACAGGAAGATTCGTGCTTCAGCAGCTACATAACTCATGTTAAATCTAGTTTGGATAATCTCAAAAAAGGAACCAATGCTGTAGTTTAGCAAAGATAATAAATGTGGAATACATGTTTTAAGAGCGTTGCTCTGGGACTCTCTTGATAATTTCCTACACACTCTTGAAATCTGTGCGTAAGAGAAAACAATCATCACTACCTGAGGCACAATAAAAACCAGAATAAGTAGAAGTCCCACAATACTAATGTACGATGCGTTTGAACATGAGTTTTTGACCAATTCCATGTTCACACAGTATAATTTCGGTATGACTTTTCCACAGAAGCTCAGCTGTAAGGTTAGTGAGTAAAAACATCCAAACAAAATGATTGGGTATAGAGCTGTTAGGGCAACAAGCTTACCTATCCTTGAATTAGACATGATGCTGTGATAATGCAGCGGGTAACAGATAGCAACATATCTATCATATCCCATAACAGCTAAAATACAAAACTCAGCACTTGCATATGTGTGCAGGAAATAGACTTGAGCCATACACCATTTTGTGGGTATTTCATGGGTCTCTGACATGAGCAAAGACATAATTGCAGGTAACAATGCAGTACTACCATACATTTCATTGATGGATAACATACATGTGAACACATTCATTGGTTGATGCAACTGTTTGTTTTGGTGTATGACAGTAATGAGCAGTGAATTCAAAGTGAGAGTAACAACATACAGCAGGAGGAAAAAAGTAAACAGCCCATGTTTGTAGTTTTCCATGACAGCGTATGCAGTCATTGTGAATGTTAGTGCTGTTGTGTTGTCCATATTCAATTCTGAAAAGAAAAAAACATTAAGAACAGATACATGCGTTATATGACAGGTTTTATCACACAGAAATAGGGAAAGCAATGCTTTCATAAGAATAGAAATTGGAGATTGATAAAGGGTTACATTTTTTGACTTTGAATATAGTATTAAGCATTTAAATTTAATGGTTCACAGTACAGAAACAGACGTTTAGGAACTCTTGTGGAGTCTATAGTTACCTGCGTAGTCACATTACTTGCCATGCAACAGAGTGTGCCACCTATGCTTGAGGTCCCTTTTAACATTGACCAGTGTTGTTACCATGGTTACCGAAGGGGCGTTATTTCTCCTGATCTCTCGCACACTAGCATGTTTGTGTTTGTTGAGGAAAAGACAGAACAATTAGCTGATACTGATTTACATACCTTCTTTGCAAAGTTTGTACAAGAGACATATGCATGATAACATATGTAATAGCTGCAGTTCAGATTTTAAATTTAATTTAATTCCCTAAAGTCCCATTAGTGGTATTGAACTGAAGTTTCCTTTGCACTAAGATTGAAAAATCCTTGAATACATCATGTAGCTTTCTGAAGTAATGGATTTTGTTTTGTTCACACATCGACTATAAATATTTTGTAACTTGGACTTCAATGAAACAGTTGGAGGATAGCAGCTATTCTGAGTTTTGGTATCATCACAAAATTGCCTACAATAGTCCACTTAGCATGTAAACCAGCTACTACTTTGGCCCTGAAACAATTTTTACTGATACTGCCAGGGGTGAAATACCAAAAACTGGAAAAGACTATTTTAACTGAGCATGTTTGCGTGTGTGTGTGTGTGTGTGTGTGTGTGTGTACATAACAGCTGGACCTCTGTCAGCAGTCCAGAAAACTAGAGTCAAACTCTACAATAAGGTGCAGGCTCAAAGAGGGCCGTAGCGGCAACTATTCTGAATGAGGAGGTTGTGCTTTTTACGAAACATATGGAAGCACAGATAAGACACAATGCAATGCGTCTTTTCGCAATCAGCTGTGTGAGACGGAAGCCAGAAAGCATCGAGTGGCATTAGAAGTTCTCAATTAGTAAAGTTAAAGGGTGGTGAAAAAACATGAATTCATCCAGTGATGCCATTCAGGACTCAGATCAGGAGAAGCTGCCCCAGAACTGGAGAGTAGACAAGTCAAAACTATAGTATAGTATATTGTTCCGTATATTACAACATGGTTCTGCATCTGTAAGCTACGAAAATGACTGCTAGACAACAAAAGTGTTTTGAAAAAAAGTGATTATATGATGTCATTAAGTGATTACATGATATTATTAAGTGATTATATGATATTATTAAGTGATTATATGATATTATATAGTGATTATATGATGTCATTAAGTGATTACATGATATTATTAAGTGATTATATGATATTATTAAGTGATTATATTATACTCTATAGTGATTATATTATATTCTATAGTGATATTTGTAACTTTACAATCCTGAATATCAGCAGCTTGCGGATGGGACGATATGTGATATTATCGTGTACCGCAATAAAAAACACTCAGATAAGTTATATTGTGGTGAATTTGTATTATCAGGGTTGTGAGTATCCTCACACGAGTGACTTGAAAAGCTTGCTAAGATACAGTCCTATACTGATTTCCTTATTATTTTTGAATTGCCATAAAGTGAAAGCCTGTATCTTTCCTGCCATTTCAAAATCCTAAACCTGTCAGCATGGCTGCCCATTGGCAAACGTCAGGGAAATGAGATGTCCTAACACTGATGCAATAAAAATATAAAACATGTTTCTTAAGAAAATGAAGGGCAAAGTGATTCCAGTATGTTTTAGTGACGTTTTAGGATTTTTAAGCATATTTAGCCGATTATTGGGATATCATGAATTGTAATTATTTTGTCCAGGATAATTGTGAGTGTAATTGGATTCAAAATGTCTCATTAACTCATTAATACATTTGAATACTTTTCTGTGTGAGCCCTACAAATCCGATAAATCATGCAACATTAACTTAAATGTCTTAAATATTTATTTGTTTGTCAAGGTACAGAACGGGGTTACAAGCAAGAACCACCACTGATCACATCCATATGTTAATGCAACAATGATGCAAGTCATAAATGGATAAACACACTCATTAGAGGTCATTCATCCACTTTGTTTTTCCATTCCTCTAGAAAGCAATTAGACACCACTGTCTTGCTACATGTGAGACCTCTTTGGACAGCACCTTGAGAATAGAGACAGAAGCTGAGAGATAAACAGTAATGACTTCCCTTTGGAGAACACTGATGTAACACTGATGAAACCTTTTCCGAAAGGTCATGACCTTTGCGCTAAAGCAAATAACAGCAATACTTTGTTCAGGCGTTTCTGTGTATCTCATCAAACTGGTTTATACCCAAACATACATACCCATACAACTGAACTTGATACTCACTCAGAAATTACATCAGAAAACCATTAGCTTTATTTCTAAAAGCATGCATAAGGATAGAAGTGCTGGTTTCTATATTTTTTTTATGAGAAGACGCAAATCCTTCAGGAGGAGTACAGAGCAGTGGACAGTGGTGAGTTAGTGGCAGGTAGTGCAGAGGGCAGAGTTTAAATAGATGAATTGTGCCCTTGAAGGGGTGGTAGATATATATATATATATATATATATAGACACACACACACACACACACACACACATATCAACAAGGTCCGCGTCAGGTGCTAGGGAACCAGGGCAACCTGATGAGAAATGGGCTACTGGAACAAGACATAGATGGACATGGGCGGAAAACACGGAACTGTTGGAATGCTACTATATGAGCAACCCCAGAGAGAAGGGATACATGCATGAATGAAGATCATGGCCCAATTAGAAACCTGGAACCCCCGACGAATACCGAAGCTGACTTGTAAAGTGCCTTCAGAAGATCTGCTAGTGGATGTGAATGCGGCACTAACAACAATCCCTACAGGAACCATCACTGAGACCAACAAGCTGATACACAGTACAGCAACAGTAATCCTAGAAATGCTTGGATATAAGATGGGCTCAAACCATAACAGGAAGCATCCACCACGGAGAGAAGTTAGCCAGCTAGCAGAGCTACAGAAGGGCAACATGGTGAATAAAGGGGCACCCAGGAAGCACACCAAGCTCTCCATACCCGAAGCACTCGAAACTGCCAAACAGAGACTAACAGCACTGGCCACCCGGTTGAAGAGATACACCAAGGAGGCAGAGGCCAGGAGAATAAACAAGTTGTTCTCCACTGAACCAGCCAAGGTGTACTCTCAATGGCAGGAAGGAAATAACAACAGGCCAGACCCACCAAGAGCTGAGATGGAAGAATACTGGAAGGCCATATGGGAAAAAGAGGCATCACACAACCCAGCAGACCACAGCAACCTCCCAGAACAAGAACCAGTAACCATCTCAATGGCAGACATCCAAGAAAGAGTGTCAAAGATGAAGAGCTGGACAGCACCTGGCCCCGATATGATCCATGCCTACTGGCTGAAGAAGCTAACAGCACTCCATGAACGCCTAGCAGCACAGATGAACCAGCTGCTAAGGGATGGGTCCCACCCAGAGTGGCTAACCCAGGGCAGGACGGTCCTAATCCTGAAGGACCCTAAGAAGGGACCCATCCCATCCAACTACCGGCCAATAACCTGTCTCTCCACAACATGGAAGGCCCTGTCAGGCATCATCGCAGCTAAGATGAGTAAGCACGTAGCTCAATACATGAGCGGGGCTCAGAAGGGAATTGGTAGCAACACCAGAGGAGCCAAACACCAGCTACTGGTCGATAGAACAGTCGCCCGAGACTGTAAGAGCAGGAAGACCAACCTGTGCACCGCCTGGATCGACTACAAGAAAGCTTACGACTCAATGCCCCACACGTGGATACTGGAATGTCTGGAACTGTATAAGATCAAAAGGAACCTAAGGGCCTTCATCCAGAACTCGATGGGAATGTGGAAGACAACCCTAGAAGCCGACTCAAAGCCAATTGCCCAAGTCAACATCAAATGCGGCATATACCAAGGAGATGCGCTATCACCACTGCTGTTCTGCATAGGCCTAAACCCCCTCAGTCAGATCATCACGAAGAGTGGTTACGGGTACCAATTCCGAAGTGGAGCAACAATTAGCCACCTGCTCTACATGGATGACATCAAGCTGTACGCCAGGAATGAGCAAGAAATTGACTCACTGATCCACACCACCAGGATCTACAGCAACGACATAGGGATGTCATTCGGATTGGACAAGTGCGGCCGGATGGTCTCAAAGAGAGGCAAGATGATCAGAACTGAAGGGGTTGACCTGCCAGAGGGCAACATAGGTGACATCCAAGACAGCTACAAGTACCTTGGTATCCCACAGGCTAATGGAAAGCATGAGGAAGCCACAAGGAAGTCAACCACAACCAAATACCTCCAGAGAGTAAGGCAGGTCCTGAAAAGTCAGCTGAATGGCAGGAACAAGATCCAAGCCATCAACATGTACGCACTACCAGTCATCAGATACCCTGCTGGGATCATAAGCTGGCCAAAGGAGGAGATAGAAGCCACAGATATCAAGACAAGAAAGCTCCTCACCATGCACGGAGGGTTTCACCCCAAATCCAGCACCCTGAGACTGTACGCTAAGCGGAAAGAGGGAGGCCGAGGACTAGTGAGCATCAAGGCCACTATCCAGGATGAAACATCAAAAATCCAAGAGTACATCAGAAAAATGGCCACCAAGGATGAACTGCTAAGTGAATGTCTCAGGCAACAGAAACCCAATAAGAGTGCGGAGGAAGAGGAGCAGACAACCTGGAGGGTCAAGCCCCTACATGGCATGTACCACCGCCAAATTGAAGAAGTGGCTGATATCGAGAAGACCTACCAATGGCTGGAAAAGGCTGGACTCAGAGACAGCACAGAGGCACTGATCATGGCAGCACAAGAACAGGCCCTAGGTACAAGAGCCATAGAGGCCAAGATCTACAAGAGTAAATCTGACCCAAGGTGCAGACTATGCAAAGATGCCCCTGAGACAGTCCAGCACATAGTAGCAGGGTGTAAGATGCTAGCTGGTTCAGCGTACATGGAAAGACACAACCAAGTGGCTGGAATAGTGTACAGGAACATCTGTACCCAGTATGGAATAGAAGTACACAAATCCCAATGGGCCACACCACAGAAGGTGGCTGAGAACAACAGGGCCAAGGTGCTGTGGGACTTCAGCTTCCAGACTGACAAACAGGTCCTGGCCAACCAACCAGACATAGTGGTGGTAGACAAGGAGCAGAAGAAAGTGGTGGTGATAGATGTGGCCATACCAGCAGACGCCAACATCAGAAAGAAGGAACACGAAAAGGTTGAAAAGTACCAAGGGTTGAAAGAACAGCTGGAGCAGATGTGGAAGATCAAGGCGAGCGTGATCCCTGTGGTAGTAGGAGCTCTCGCGGCAGTGACTCCCAAACTGGGGGAGTGGCTCCAACAGATCCCAGGAACAACATCAGAAGCCTCAGTCCAGAAGAGCGCAGTCCTAGGAACAGCTAAGATACTGCGCAGAACCCTCAAACTCCCAGGCCTCTGGTAGAGGACCCGAGCTTGAGGATGACACACAGATACCACCCCAAGAGGGTGAGAGGGAAGTTTTTTTTTTTTTATATGTGCTATAAATCTCCATTCAGATGCAGCTCTTCTACTTTACTACTGATCCTAAACAGCAGCAATGTTTGTTAATACAATTGTTCTGCTTAGAAATGGCTGTGATGTGTTTGTTGTGTGGCGTTTGGTATGTTTCCACCCTAAAATACTGAATAGTCTATGCTTTTCACTCCAGAGGGAGTGACTGTTGCTATAAATTAGACTTTATCATAAATAACTGCTCTAATTCTACTCAACTGTATGACTATTAGTTTAGAGAGAGAAAACACATCCCTCTTAACTGTGTCCCTCAACAAAAATAACCCCTCAAACCACGAGTCTCAGGCACAAAGTCTTCCATATGTCAGCTACTGTGCGCAGTTCTGGCTTTGGTCTTCTCATCCATATGACACACCGCCTCCCACTCCAGCAGCGAGGGTTGACATCCTGACATCCCTCTCAGTTGGTCGTCTGCTTTCAGGTGTGACAGGCACCTCAAATGAGGCTCCATCTAACCCCTGGCTAAAGGCCACAGACCTCAAGCTGGCAGACTCGAGGGGCCATTGTTGAGGACTGCTTTGGCTGTATCATCAGTTACTTACTTGAGATGCTCAGAGCCTCTGAATGA